GAAAGTTGGGGATGGAATTAATCTTTCCCTCAGACTATTTTACCTTCTCCACTTCTTTAAAAATAAATCCACATACTCCTCAAAACATCTATAAAATACCAAGCTTGTGAACTGCTTTCAGTCTGAGATTTTGCAGGCCTTGTAATAAGAGTTCACATTTATTTTAGGTTTTTATTCTCCTAACATTATTTGAAAAGGGTCTTCCAGAGATCTTTCTTTGACAATTTTCATGATACTTGGCCTATCTATTGCATCTACCTATGTCTATCTTCTTACTTGCTGAATTTATCTCTTACCTTTCCTCTGGGGACTCAGGGCATGGATCAGGAGAGACTCCTTCAATTTTACCCTCACAGCCACCCTGGAGATGAAGAGGGCTCAGAGAGAATGACTGCTCCAAAGCCGTACTGTGAGATGGATGGTTGGCTGGACTTGAATGTGGGTCTCCCAGTCCAAGTCCAATGTTTATGTTACACCGGCTCTTTATGGGTATTTTCCTACTGCTGAGTTGAAATGGTCTCCACCTATCCTTGAGTCAACAGAAAACTATACTAACAAGAAATTGGTTCCCCTTGTTGCTAACCTCTATTCCCAGTCACTGCCCATTCCGACTTCCCTGCAAAGGAAGGGTGACACAGTCTGAGGGTGAGGTTGTCCTTGGGCGGTGTCAATATAACTGGGGAAATATTACTTTAAACCAGTACAGTGAAGAATGATTTAAGCCTTTCTCACTCATAGGCTGGGAACAAGAAAAAGACAATGTAGTAGCACATTCATGACATGGTTAGGTGTAAGTGAGGAAAGACCCTATATAGGCCACATCTTAATGAAGGATAAATGTCAAAGAGGCATTACAAGAACATTATGAGCAAAAGCGAGTCCCAATGGTTTGCTGTAGAGAGTAAGGAAGATGACCTTGACAGAAATATGCATGAACTGTTACCTAGGCAAAAGGGGCTCATACATTGTTTGACAATGAGATTACATTTGGCAAATGCCTCTCTATTCATTGAACTATAAGAAGGAGGAGGAGGTACAGCATAGCCAGAACTGCAAGATTCTGTTATTACTGTATAGCCAAACTCAATAAAAGTAGTTTTAGCCTCCTTGTGGAGTTGATTTCCAGGTCTGATCCATCTAGCGGGGGTGACATCTATTGAGTTAAACAGAGCCAGTTCACCCATGTACAGTAGCTTGCTAGTTTTCGGACATTGACAACTTCTGTCCCGTTTTTGCAGTTCCAAAGCAGTATTAAAAGGAGGTGATGTAATAGGCCCCCAGTCAATGGACTTCCATACATGGTGCATAAGAATGAGCTAAATTTGGCTTAGGGGGTTAAAATTGTACAGGACACCTTAAATCAATATAATTATAATATTTACATTATGGGAACAATTGGCATTGCACATGCTAAACACCTTTTTGAGAACTGCCAGTTTAAGCAGCATCAGAATATGAAACACCACCTTTCCTAAAAAAAATTAAGTAATTAGAAACTATCATTTTATTTCTGATCATCAAAGGAACTAACTGCATGCAGACAGGGGTCATTCAGTTTATTGATTACAAGATTCTTTCTCCAAACTCTTTGGACAAAGCTTTTGATTCCTGAATTTACAGCATGTCCTGTGGAACCTTTATAGCATCTGACCAGAAGGAAATGATAATGAAATTCAGCAGAATCTGATGGGTTGAATACAGCCTCTAAGAGCAACCCAGGGGTAAACCTAAGTTTTATGAAGTTTAACAATTGCTTGATGTATGTGCACACTCACTTCCTGATTGGAATGGAGAAACACGTCTCTGCATGTAATTAGCTATCAGCACAAGGTACATTCAGACCTTAAAATAAGCATATGGTCTACGCTAATCTTCATGCATCTAAATAATGGCTTAAGATTGCTATATAAAAAACAAACACAGCTCACTTTGGCACATAGTGTGAACTATTTCCAGCTCTCTTGACTTACGTAAATGTGCTTCTGTGATTCAGGCAAGTATCAAAGCAATTACAAAAGACTCAATTCGCTCCTTTTGAAATATTCAGCAGTCAGAAACGGCAATCTCTTTTTTTCTTGCTGGTCATAGAGCACATTTACTACTAAATAAAGTAAATACGCCTATTTTTTGTTGGCTTTTAGAGGGGCAAGAAAGCATGAGGTAGCATGATTTGTCCAGAAAAAAACAAAAACAGAATAAAGCCTTGGGCTGCTATACCCGTTTGAAAGTATTCACAATTGTATGGCTTTCCATCACTTACATACAGTATCTAGCTGGCTTAGTTTATTTTGGTTTCTCAGCACAACTTTCAACATATCATCTTTTTAATGTTTTTTATAGTTCTTTTATTACTAAGCCGCTTAGGGTCACTTATATAGTGAGATGGGCAATGTATAAATTTGATTAATAAAAAAAATCTTAAGCCAACAAAGAATTACCATGGCTATCAACGTTTGCAAATAAGAAATAAGTCCCACTGCGTTCCTGGGAGTTGCTTAGGACTGGAGCTGAAGGATATAAATTAGGGTTATAACTATGAACTCCATATCCAAAATATTTTAGCAATCACCACAGGCAAATCATCAAGGATAAACTGAAGTGAAAAAAACTAATCCAGATGTGTAGTTTAACAAAAACTGCACAGAACATGACCACCTCTGTAGGACAGAATTTGTTTAAACTTTGGAGTTGGGAATACACATCTGCTCTCTCATTCTTAGTCTGGAATAAAAGCAAGAGTATTTTTTTTTAAAAAGCAACAACAACAACAATTCACTTATCATTATAACACACCATAGGATATAGGCTGGTAATATAATTTATAATTTGGAACAATCCAGGTACCGTATCATACTGTTAAAGATTTCAATTATTTAAAAGACACACAGCTCAAACACACACATCCAATAATAAAGCAAGCTGGGATTTTTGTGAGATAATCAAAAGTCATATGATTTTGAAGTTCTTACCCTAAAGTCATCCTCAAATTCTCAGGAAACCTTGCATTTGAACCCTGAAACTTTGCAGAAATGGGGGGTTTCAGCCATTTGAAACATTTATTAATTAACATTTATTAATTTGATTTGAAGTTACTGTGGATTCCATTTAGGATTGTCAATGAGATTATGGTACTCACAGGCATAATACTTGCCAACCCCTGGCATAGGGCATCGAATAGGTTTCTTATACATATCGGTTAAAAGCCAGTTGAACTAAAAATATTAGTGGAAACTTGACTGAAAGCAGCCGTGCAAAAAAAAGGTAGAATTTTAGTCAAAAGGGAGGTAATTATTTGCTAAACAATAGAAATGTGTACAGAACAATTCTATACAATATATAAATTTTGTAGAACACTGAACAAAGTAATTTGCATTATTACAATTTAAAGGCTTACATGTTATTTAACTATATATAGCAAACTCTCCATTTAATGGTCCTCAATTTAGCAGACTCTGGATTCAACTGACAAATTTTTGTTCAGACTCTTTTTCCATTTAACAGATTAATGTCCTTTAAATCAAGAAGTTGTGTGTTAAATCAAGGCTTTACTGCCATTTATAACAATTATGGAACGAAGCAAATGACATAAATTGACAGAAGTGACATAAATGTAGCTTTGATGGATATGGTAGATTTAACAGACACTCTCCCCCCCCCATATATTGAGTTTTTAATTGTACTTGAAACTATGTACAATCTTGTGAAATGGCAAAACAAGATCTAGTGCATATTTTTATAACTTTTCTTAATATGCATCACATCATAGCTTATATTAATGCAGGAATTAGAGCTGGACGCAAATGGCCTTTTGAAATTCTCCACTAAATACGTTAGCAGAAAAGGTAAATAGGTGATTTTTCTGAACATCTCCGGGGGAAGGAGACATCCATCAACAATTTCTTGAGGAATAAACTCCCTTTTATCGATGACAATATCCATAAGTGGAAAAGTCTAATAGGAGGAGTTCTTTCATAATGTCTTCCTTTTAAGTTTAATTAAATTGTGGAAAGCCAGGGAGGCTGTGGAAAGAGGATTGTGCAATGAAATATAGGACATTCACACACTCCCCTTGACCACCTCTAACAAAATTCAAGGCAAGTACACCACCCTCCAACCATAAGTATTTTTCCAAAAGTCTCCTTTGAATTAACATCTAAAACAAATGCTCTTTTGTCAAGTTGAATGAGAACTGATAGAAAAAAAGAGAGGATAAATTTCTGCCCAGTAGGATAGGAACATCTGTAAATTGCATTTGGGGGTTGGTATACCACGGCTAGTTAGCGTGTAGCAATCTTCCCCAACCTGGTGCCTTCCAGAAACGCTGGGCCGCACCTTGGAGTGTTGTGGCCTACACAGGCAACTGCCTGGCCCCAGCTGGCTGGGAATTCAGAGAACTGCAGTCCTGGTGCATCAGGAGATGACAAGACTGGGACCATCTCTCCCTTGTCTGCCAAGAACTGACTCCTGACCAGCATGCATAATGGGATAAAGGAGCTCTGATGCCCTTGACCAAAAGCCCATCTATTTCTCTCACCTCTTTTCTATTTTATCCATAGGCTTTTCCAATAGCTGTTACTGGCCAAAATGGTTCATTGAATTACAAAACTGCAAAAAGGTTGGCATGTTTACAGCTAGAACTTTCACTCTTAGACTTCTCACTCCCATTGAGAATAAATGCTTCTTGGCACAAAGGGATCCCCACAGACCAGAGGCATTGTTGCCTCCCCCTTGTGCAAGTTTGCGTGCTTTGCATTCAGATGGCTTCAGAATTCAGCATCATCGCTGGACGCTTTCCCGAACCCGGTAGAGCTGGGAATTTCCAGCCCACACAGTGAACCAGATCTCATAAAGGTAGCTGGATACACATTCAGCACTATTCTTACAACAGTCACGTTTTATTATAAAAATGGTAGCTTCCTCTGTTATTTTCTGCTTTGCTTGCAGAGGCAAAAGAGACAATGAAACTTTGGATAAATAAATAGCACTGGGAAGCTAGAAAATAAATTAATATTTAGAATAAAAAAATAATCTGCAAAAGTACACTGGGGCTATATTAAAGTAGCTTTTTTATTATGTACAATAAGGCAGTATATGAAATTGAATTAAACTTTAAGTTAAAATAGAGAGACCTAGAAGTGGGCTAGTTTAAATTTCCTGTTTCCCCCAAAGGTGGGAATTCTAAAATCACTTACTTTGTAAGTAGTCTCACTAGTGCCAATGGAGATCTTTGCAATGAGTTCAACCAAAAAGGAATCCAAGAACCTAACACACTAAAATCAAACAGGAGACACAGATTTTTTTTTCTCCCTAGTTAGGTATGTTTTAATAGATTAGATGAGCTAAGATTTTTAACATTTATAAAACTAGGGCTTTTTTAAATAGGAAAAAAAAGGCAGAAAAGTAACAACAACCCTTTCTGAGCTTCTAAAATGTGTTAAAATATATAGCAGCATGTGACATAAAATTGCAGATTTTCACTAGCAGCATGTCATAGGACCTGTATGAATAACAACAGAGCAATCATGCAGCATCTTATGGGTGTAGATTTTCTGTCATGGAACTCAGGAATTTGTTTGGTTGTTAAGTGTCATATTTATTCTACTGAAGCAACAACAAAGCCTGTAGTTTTTGGCTGGTAAAAGAATGACCCAGCTTGGGTATCAGCAATGAGTTTCCCTGGACACTGCCATGAGCCCCCTATTACTGACATGGTTCCTTGAGATGTTCTAATGCTTCCACTGAGCACTCACACACACACACACACACCCCAGCCACAATTGCCCGTAGCTCAGCAGAGCAATATAGCACAGATCTGGGTTACTCTGGGAAATATAAATGGTGGCTATTCAGGGTTCTTTAATGTCATCAATCTTTCCTATTTGGAGAAAATAAGAGACAGCAGGTAGGAAACACCTCTCTCTCAAATGATGAGGAGGAGGGGCTGATGTACAAAACAGTTATCAGAAATCTGAGGGTGATACAATTCTGTGGCACTCAAAAGAGGAATGCTCTTGAGTGCAAGTCCTGTGCTCTTGTATATTTCTTCTGCATGGTGTCAGATTTCATGGCTCAATAAATGAGAAGTAAATATGGTGGGTTGCATATCTGTTGTAGCCTTCACACCAGGATGGCCACTGCCCAATTACACCTTAACCAGCAATATTTGACACTTTGTCCTTTTTGATAAGACATGTCAGAAATAGGTGCTGTTGATTGTTATAGTTTGGAATAAAATCATGACACATACTTTTGATTTCCTGAAAGTCAGACTTCACAAAAATAATTCTCCTAATCACAGACAGCAAGATGATCTTTTTTCTCTGTTCTTAATGACCGAATATAAAGCATAAAAAGATGTGAGCTCCAGCTGAGCAATTTTGTGCCCAGAATGTTTATTTTCCTTGCATCACCTGGGAATTTCAATCTGTTCATTAATGAAAGGCTGCCATAAGGTTATTTGGATCCATATAATCTAAACCACCAGTCTGTATTTTGCACATGTTTGGAACTGGGAGGCAATAGACCATGTTTTTTTCTGCCTGGCTCTGCTGGTTGGACTCCTCTGGAAGTTCCTGAAAAGAAGGCAGAGCCTCTATTCTGGACTCTGGTAATAATACCAAAATATGATTAGCTACAACAGTTGAAACCTTGCTGTATTCTTTTGCATCTGTAGGCACAGGACCCTTTTCAGTTTTGTCAACACTTTCTTTCTGCTTGGGTAGCACAGCCAACACTCCGTCATTGCTGACTTTGTGAATCTCTACATAATCCATTGGCTTTGTAGACGTAAAAGGTGATTGCCTTGGAGGTGCCAGCCAAAATACCTCTTGATTAAACTGAGTACTTAGAGACAAATTTGCTCCATCCTCCAGTTGGGCTGTTTTTTCTTTACTAATAGTCTCAATGGATTCAGGAGGTTGAGAACAATGCTTTCTTTCACTTCTCCCCAAGATGGGTGACCTTTTTACATTTGTGCCTTTGAGTGCCATTTTGCAGATCTCTACGGTATCATGAGAAGAGCACTTTGGACTGTGAGGGTTCCCTGGCTGGTCTCTAGGCCACATATATGCTTTTGGGCTCCCACTGGTCAACCATGAGAGATGCCTTTCAGAGTCTAGTTTTAATATTTCTGATAGTTTTTTTGTATCAGTGTTCCTTTGTACCTCATCAGGATCCAGTACTTTTACTTCAGAGGGATGTTTTCTGGCTTCCTTATATTTCTCTTGCAGTAGAGATGGACTCTCAGAGCTTCCTCTTCCTGAGTCGCAGTCTGTTTCCTGGTGTGCTGGCTTTACAGTTTTATTGAGGTGACTCTTTCCATGATTTGGCATTAGCTGTTGATCTTCACTGTCATCTATCTCCAAAAATTCTATCAGCAGATCTTCATAGTCTGAAGTTGGAGGAAAACCCTGGCAGTCGAGAGCACTCAGTAATTCTTCAGTTTTCCCTGCCTGGAGAAAGATGAAATACACACTGGATGACTATAATTCTTACATAAGAACGACCTGAACACATTTGAACATACAGCAGAAGAAATACAGATTCTTACAGATTTCTAAAGGGTATAACATTTTTTAAGCAGAAAGGTGCATGTACCAATCAAGCCAAAAAGTTGTTGGAGTCAGGATAAAGCTATATGTAACTTAATGTAGAAATTTTATATATAGCAACTTTCACATTAAATATTTGGGAAGTGCTCCTGCGGCTGCATTTAAAATTTGGGGGGGCCTGTATGAAACCCTGGGGTTATAGCTTTGCATCCTGATATATAAATAGGCACTAAATTGGTGCAGAATATCAAATAAACACCAACAAATCTATTTTATGAATTTGTTATAAGGATCAGAATGAGAAAATAATTTATTTGAAAGAGGTGCTTTAGGACACATGTGAGCACATATGAAGCATCTCCTTTTGACCTGTTAAAGCAGCTGCATCTTTTTCCAGACTCATGGGATGCTTCAGGAGTTGCTTCCAGCTGTTTCCACAAGTATCTGCCTGCATATTTGCTTTGTTTCTCTGGGAAAAGTAGCTAATTTTTCATTAAAAAAAGGTGCTTGGTACACACTACTGCATATTCCAAGGCATTTCTTTTGAAGGAATTGCATAGCCCTATAACACACATGAAATGCTTTGTCTCTTGAAAATGCACAGTTGTTCAATATTGTGGTTAGCAGGAGACAAACTGTTGCATTGTGGCATACTCTGATACAATACCAAATATTGTATCAAAAATGAGATATGGCAAGCCCAATTCTGATTATAATCATAACTGAGGAGAAGAGAAAGCTCCCTATTCTTACTCCATGTTTCCAATCCAGAATAGACCTTCTGCACTGGTTCTTAATCAAAGAAAATCCCATTCAAAGGAAACGTGTCTGTATATGAAAATAGGGAACTTGTTTGCTTTAAGTTCAGGCAGATTAGCAATAGCAGAAAAATTATCCATTTGGAAGGCTCAATGTTTCTTCCTTGATGTTCTTTGGTCAACCAGTGTGTGACCAAAGTAAAGGATTTTCGTATTCTTGGTGAGAACCCAAGCTCTCACCTGTAATAGTTGAGCGTCAAAACCTTTTATTTTTGGACCTGGAACTGGTGGTAGAAGGCGAGCCACCATCCTGAAATGCAAAAGAGAGACAGAAAAAACAAAATTCCAAAAGTGAACTTGATTTTACAATTATTTCCTTCCTCCTTAGGTTAAAATGATATTTCTGAAGGCAGTTAATGCAGTGGGATTTAATTCCTTTTCCAATAGATTTGAACATAAAAATAGCTCTGCTTATTTTGGAACATTTTAAGAAGGGCTCCTTGCAGGATATGGGTGACTCTTCAATGGCTTGGAATTGGCAGAGCCCAGGAGGAGACTGTACAGATTGGAAGAGAGTTGTTACTCTAGCCTCCAACATCATCCTTTGAATAAGGCTTTTTGATGCAAGCAGATACCCAAAGACTAGTGTTTCTCAACCTTGATAATGTTAACATGTGTGGAGTTCAACTCCCAGAACTCTCCAGCCATGCTGGAGTTGAATTCCCCCAGCCATGTGGAGTTGAACACCACACATCTTAAAGTTGCCAAGGTTGAGAAACATTGCTCTAGACTTTTTGAAATAAGAAGTTCAGAGGGGATAAAATATTTTCCCTCTCATCTTTTGGTTACTGGGCTCAAATAAAGTTGGATGCAAATACTAAATGATTAAAAACTCTAGACTACCATTCAGTGGCAATACTGGTATAAGTTGCACATGGAAGGCCATCTTCAGATAAAAAGATCTCCAGTACCAGCATTATTAAAGATTTCCTCTGCCTCCTGCTCCTCAACTGATTGTTCACAGACAGTTGGCTACAGATAGCATCTACTATGTTTGAGTCTGATTATTCCTCATTAAATATTAACCATGGCAAAGAGGTCAGAATTGGGACCAGAGTGGACAGAGATAAATTTCAAATGCTTTTTCCCATGTTATAGGTCTGTTAGTAATCACATCGAGTTACTACTTGCTCCAAGCAGGAAGCCTATTATGACTTTCCACTCCTGCTGTTTAAATAAGAAAAATGAGGTAGCATGCATGTATTTAAGTAAGATCTAGATTGGCACTGGCATTCTTTAAAGAGAAATATTAGAGTTGGAGTATAGGATTTTGGTGCACAAACCTGACACTGTGTTTTTGGCTTTGGGACACAGGAATTGACTGTACAACATATTAAACCATCATTTGTTTAGCCATGAATTACTGAATAATACAATTAATGGGATCTGCACAACATGCTAAGTCATAAACTGAAGTTTACAAACCACAGTATACTAACCCCAAATCAAACTAATCATATTACTCTTTATCAACACCAATCTGAAATGCTGATATTTAGAAAGTATTCTTTAAGTGAAGGTAGAATGATCAATTCTTAATAGCTAGACAAAGCTTGAACAATCAGTGGGCTAAGATCATATACATATATAGTGGAGATCTGTAAATAAACCCCTAGTATTTGCCTAGTCCAGAGATGAGCAGAACCCAATATTTACAGATAGGCAGTAATCCATTAGAGAGGAACAGCAACCTTTTCCCTCCACTCCCAATGTAGATTTTATGGCAGGTTTGTTTTTGTGCAACTTGCAATATCCAAAGTTGTAGCTTACTTGGTTCTTTTCAAAGCCAATATCCAAATCAGGATCAAACATGTGGCAATTGATAAAAAAACCACAAAGATCCAAACCACTACATCCTTTAGGCTGATACCTAAGAGAGAAAACAAGCAGGTTTAAATTTCAACTTTTTTAACTTAGAGGAGAAATTTTATCTCCATAATTTTATTTTATCTCCATAACTCTCTGAAGCTAAGTTATGGTGCCATGACTGATTCAAGAACATCCAATGAGAGGTGAAGTTTGACCTGTGTTATCACATTTGCTCCTATATAAATCCATGGTCATAAGTAATCTCTTCACGAAACTACATGTCTTTAAGCTTCCTCAAGATGGATTATCATGGCATACCAAATTTTATACCAGAGATGAGCAACCTGAGATCCTAGGATTACATGTCTACATCCTGAGCCCATTGGCAGCAATGGCTAAAAATAGCGTTGTTGTTTTTTTCAAAAAAGAAATCCTCTCAAATAGTCTACCCCAAAACCAAGAAATAAATGTAGGCTTAATTTAGAATCAACTAAATTAAGGGCTATGCCCCCAACTGTGGCTGTCACCCTTCCAACTTTTATACAATGGTATAAATACTCAAGTACATATCACATGTAAACAACATCAAGTTCAAAAAATTGTATGCAATTTTTAGATCTCATCTTTATTTTTTTTAAATGGAATATTTATTCCTATCAACTAGTCTTTTACAAATAGAGCAGACAATAAAGGGTTAGAAATTTCATTTCCATGATTTTTACAGGAGTTGGTTGTTTGAATCACAGAATCAGAGGGGCCACTTAGTCCCACTCATCCAACACTCCTTTAAATGGCAGGAATCCAAATTAAGACACCCCTGACAGATGGCCACCAAATTTCTGTTTGAATCTAGCCAGTGAAGGAGAGTCTGCCACTCCCCTTTCATAACTGGTTCCTCTGCTGAATTGCTCTTCCCATTAGGAAGTTTTTCCTAACACGGAAAGGGATTTGCCTTCCAGGAATTTCAGACTATAAATCTACAGTTCTTTTCTCTGGGATGGTAGAAAACAGCCTTGTACTTCATATGTGTGGTAACTCTTCTGATCCTTGAAAAGTGATACCACATCTCCTCTCTTTTTTTCAAGACTAAAGATGTCTAATTCCTTCAGTCTCTCCTCATGAGATTTAAAAAGTATGTAAGGTATCAAAATGACATTCATAAAAAAAGAAAAGAAAAGAAAAACCAGAATCATGCCCTAGTGGTTCACCCTGTTTGTATCTGTGGCCTTTCTCTGCCCCAATTTAAAGCATTTAATCCTGTTCAGCCAAAACAGGTCCCAAAGTAGCTTCAGTAACTTGGGATGGGTAAATTAGGGAAAGTTATAAACAAAAATGTCAGTATGAAAAGAAAAGTAAATTTGGGTTCTTTTAAGAAATTCAGGTCTAATGTGGAAACTACTTGAACTGAACTTATAATTGAATATACAGTGGTACCTCGGGTCACGAACACTTCTGTTCACGACCAATTCGGGTCACGAACAGCTCCGTTTGCAAAATTTTGCCTCCGTCCGCAAACGCCAGATCGGGTGACGAACAGGATCTGCGGCCATTTTCCCTGCCGTGACATGTGGTCGTGGCTTCCTGTAGGGAGGGGTATTCTCCCTCCAAGCAATAACCGCCTCCCCACCCGCCTTCCTATCCTCCACGCCAGAAGTCGCGTCGAGCAAGGTTAGTGTTCTCTCTCTTCGTACTGTACTTTGTGTCATATTTTTGTGGTTTAAAAAAAAAAAAACATATGATTCAGAACGGATTAACCGTAATTACACTGAACCTTATGGGGAAATTTGATTCGGGTCGCGACCAATTCGGGTCGCGACCAGAGTCGCGGAACGAATTAAGTTCGTGAACCAAGGTACCACTGTATATAAAACTGACACAGAGTGAAACTGACTGATTTTTCTATCTCTGAGCAAGGTTAGTGTTCTCTCTCTTCGTACTGTACTTTGTGTCATATTTTTGTGGTTTAAAAAAAAAAAAACATATGATTCAGAACGGATTAACCGTAATTACACTGAACCTTATGGGGAAATTTGATTCGGGTCGCGACCAATTCGGGTCGCGACCAGAGTCGCGGAACGAATTAAGTTCGTGAACCAAGGTACCACTGTATATAAAACTGACACAGTGTGAAACTGACTGATTTTTCTATCTCTATCAGTACACAACACAACAAAATCTCAGCTCACACTTTTACTATCTTAAAGATACAACACAAATGAAAAAAAAAGCAATCCAGGCTTCACAGAACACACCGTAAGGCTGTGTGTCTGGCTATATTGGAAGAGGTGCCCCCTCCATTTCCTGACCTATTTGATCAATTTTATGGCATTTATTGTTATACTGCTAGTTATACTGAAGTCTTCCCCAATCCAGGTGTTGGACTTGAATTTCCAAGATTTGCAGTCAGGTTGGGAAAAGCACATTATATTTTATAATCCCTCTCCCCACTCCCATTTAAATAATAAAGTATGAATGTTAGTTGCTGATGTTACCATACAGGACAAGAAAATCTGGAGACAGAATTACAGTAGGGACATGGAATGCACGTGGGGAAACTCAAAACACTGAAAGAAGAAATGAAATGGCTACAAATTGACATCTTAGGCATTAAAGAATTGAGATGGACTGGGGTTGGACCCTTTCAGTCAGAAGATCACATCATTTATTACTCAGGACATGAAAAACAAAGAAGAAACGGTGTTGTTTTTAATAGTTAGGAAGGGTATAGCAAGAACACTACTTAGCTACAATACAATCAGTGACCGAATAATATCAATTAGACTTCATGAACAACCCTTGAATATGACAATCATTCAAGTGTATGCTCCAGCTACCAATACTGAAGAAGAGGAGGTTGATGATTTCTATGATCAAGTTCAATTTTAAATTGACAGAACACATACCACCATTTTCAAGAAGAACATCAGGAATCATTTTGAAGTCTTGAACCTCATTGATAGAGAGCTATTGATAGCGAAAAGTTTGTATACTCTCCCCTTATTTATTCAACCTATATCCTGAATATGGTGGGGCGGGGGGGAGAAAACAAAGCCAAGGAACTCCACCAATTCCTGTCCTCAGTATGCTGTCTGTACTATAAACAAGGATGGCACCATTTACAAGTATCATGCCCATGGCAGGATAGAGAACTACACATTTTATGCCAATATAGTTTTCTGCTGGCTCAAGGACTGGAAAATAGCATTTTAATTCTGCCATGAGGAAAAGCCTGAGGCTAAACATGCTCTTGGTTTCATGTGCCTCGTGCTAATAAAAAGCCAGACAAGGGTTACCTTACCTTTTTGGAGTTTAATATAACTTTTAAGGCTCCAGATGCTCCAGTTACCGTGATCTGATCTGCAACGAACCTGTGCAACATATCTTTCTCCTGGATTCACACTGAACATCTTATAAGTTGTCCTTTGACCAACAAATATTTTCTGGAAATATAAGAATACAAACATGTATAAAAGAGCTTCTATATAAAAAAATGCAACAGCGAAGTACAAGTAGTCCTGGTTTAGCGACCACAATTGGGACCAGCAACTTGGTCATTAAGCAAACTGGTCGCTAAATGAAACCACAACTGTGCTAATGATCTTACTTCAGCTTTCCTTTGCTTTAAAGACCTGCTAAGGTAATAAATGTGAGGATTGGCCATAAAGTTACTTTTTCATCACTGTTGTAACTGTATAATGATATATTAGTTATTTTGACCAGAAAAGGGACATTTAAAAAATATGTATAGTCTGGAGAGTGAAGGAGATTAATAGTTTTGCTTTCTACTCTTGCAATAATGAAATTTAGGATTCAAGTAGACAAACTGTTTGACAGTTGGGACAGATTTTAAAAAAAGAACTTCTATATAAAGTATTCCAATTCATCCCATCCTGGTTAACCCAGATCACTTTACATACAGCCAAATGACACAGGTAATGTCTTATCCAGTTTTGCCCTTAGACTGCTTTTAACACAGCATTGCAACTGCAGCTCCTGAAATCTTTGGATGGGGTCCCTAAAACCCTTCCCAAAATTTCTGTCATGTGGGGATGTCTGCAGGGGGGTATCTACTATCTGGTCCTCTTGTCCACTTCACTAAGATGCAATTTCTAATGTGACAGAAAGTGTATGTGTGTGTGTGTGTGTGTGTGTGTGTGTGTGTATATATATATATATATATATATA